TAGAAGAAGGCACAATTGCCAGCACACTTTCACTATTCTTTTTCCTCTACCACCTTCTGCTCCACTATTTCTGTGATTAAATAAACACAAATACGAACACACAAAAAAGAATCTAATAAATACAGCCCCATAGGTTATAGCTCATGGCTATTTAAATGACGATCCTATGAAAGAGTCTGTACAACTCAAGGAAATCTATGGGTACTTACCAGATACTTTTGGCTCCAGATTTCAGTGGCGGCAGGTTAATGGAGAAGGGAAAAGGGAAATAGGTGGATTTGTAGGTATTATACAATTGTCTGAATCTGTGTTGGTCACACAATACTAAGAAATGCTCATAGAATCAATGAAAAAACAAGGATAACCAGGGCCATCAAAAAGTAACAATATATAAAATTCCTATTATGTGAGTCAAAAGATGCCAAAAAAGAAACTAACTTTGTACCAAAGTCCTTATTTTACACAGAGAAATCCCTTGTTAATATCAGCCCTCCTGTGCTTATCCAATATGTTCATTTCTCCCTTGCCTGCTTTTTACACCAAGTTACTTTTAAATCTGTACTCTGCAATGCTGCTAATATTCTCTGCATGTTACAGACTGTTTATCCTAAAATGTTCCTTCTATGGTGTGGTTCATCAGGACCCTACCACAGTCTACTGGTAATGAAGCTTAATTGAAACCACATGGTTCTGCATTACTTGAAAAGCTAACACTGACAATATAATGCATTGATATTCTTTGAATTTATCAACTGGCTGCAAAACTAAAATGACATTTCATTTTACAGAGTTATTCTGTTTTCCACATGCATGCGATATCACAGTTTGGAAAAAAATTGAATTATATCCCTGGTCAGCACCCATATGTAGTTTTAGATGCTTTTAGGTGTCTTAGGTCCATTAGATGGCATGCATTAATGCACACTAATATTCCTTAAAAGTTATGTAGCAGTAGATAAAGAGATGTACTTGACTATTGCTAATGAGTTTGGCATGCTCAAGACATTAGTCTTTTAAGAAAAGCTATAAAGCAAACTGAATCTGCCATTCAAATCTGCTTTGGAAAAGAAATTAAAGCAATAGCTTTCACAAATTTTTAAAAAGTAAATTACATTAAGTCAAGGTTGTCATTTAAATTTAAATCCCTATTTCTAAGTATGATGCATGATTAAAAGGCATAATGGAAAATATAAGCAAATATTAATACCTTAATACAGCATTAAAAAAAGAAAAAAGAAAAGAGCAGTGGAAACCTGAGTAAAAAGAAGCCAGGAAGCAGCTGAAAAAGAGACCGGTTCACTGTGAGAAATGTAAACCTCTCAGACAGTGCTACGGCCCCGAATCCAACAGCTCAGGAACAAGGCCAATTATTGCAAAATATTAAACATATATGGTAAAGCTGCAAACTTTTCAAATGAGTCATAAGAATGAAAGCAGCTACACAGAAAACAGCCAGGGATCCATAAACCCAAAATCTTTGCTGTAACTACTATGTGCAGGAACAGTTTCTTTATATCAAGTTCCTTATATGCAGTATACTTTACAGTACTCGAACTGTAAACTTTAAAGAGTTAAGATAATGAATCTTTATTATTACAACTGGCAAGTAACCATTTCTTTTGAAATAGTTGCTTGTGTGACTCCAGTTTTTGACAGTAAGTCACTAAGCTACTACAAACCAATCCTCCAATATTTCACCTTCCTCAACTAGAAATGACTCACATAAGCTAGAAACACAGTATCATGGAATTTTAGAGTTCACAGAGGCTTCAACAGACAATACAGCAAAACTCCCTTACTTTGCCAGTAAGTAAAATGAAACCCAGAAGCTTTAAGTGATAGACCTAATACCAGTTAAAAATGAATGAGGCTAACAGGATTTTATTCCTATTTTGTTTTCTTTCATACTATACAATGCACTGTCTGAAATGCCTTATGTAGCCAGAATTTCTTCTGCTTCTGCTGATTGGGGTTGACTTAACCTTGTTTTGAATGACCGTGACAGTTTCAGATTCATAACACAAGATATATATATATATATATTCATTCCCCAACAATAATGATAGTACTATTTTCAATTCAAGTCTCGTAATAGATGGGAGGTTTGTTGTTAAGGAGATTAACAACTATTGTGGACCTCTGGCACTCCCGTGGATGGAAGACCAAAGCATTTTATCCTTGAGATATCTCCCCAAGGATACCTTCCTGCCCCCAAAAGGGAAAAGAGCAGAAAGTTTTACATTTTTTCTTGCCATATCCCCTGGCTTATGAATATTTAATTTAAAAATTACTTATTTATTGTGCTCCAGTGAAGAAAAACTGTTACTAATTTATTAATGTTTTCATTATTTGGTTGAATAGTTTTACCCTTTTATGTAATACAAGAAAATAATATGCTGCTTGACTAAATGTTGTTTGGCAAGAAACAAAAAGGTAAGAGATGTAATAAATTATTTCTAATTTTAATCAGATTGGGATGGTGAAATGTACATAGGGAAATATAAGGAAAAGAATAAAAGAATGAAATCCAGAAAGTATAATGTGTATATAAAAAAATGTTAATTACTGAGACATAAAATGCTATAAATTTGTTAAAAAAACACAGAAAAAATTGCCTTGTTCATTTCCCGATGCATTTTACTTTTCTATTAGGACACACACAAACATACATGCACACTTTTCTGTAAGCTTTAACAAAAAATAACCATTAACTAACTACAAAAAAAATCTTTCGATTTTGAGTTTTTTAGTAGTTCAAATCCTACTAATTCCACAAAAAGGTTATAATTACCAACACAATACTTGCCACTGGCACTACTGAACTTTTCTTCAAAGAGGGATTTGCTCTTGTACTTATTAGCAGAACAAATTTCCTTCCCTTTCAGATAAGGATGATTTGAGGATTTCTCTTTTTTTCTTCAAACTGAATGATATTCAACTAACTTAAGGTATAAACTGAGATGATAGTACATAAAATAATTGGAAGAACAGATTCTATAACATGTTACATTATGGTAACTTTAAGAGTCAAACACAACATTTAAAAACTGTTCACAAAAACTGTTTTTCTGTGCCTGTACTATACAGATGTACTCTGTTTCCCTCCTTCTCACCTTAACTAGCATTAGGAAAAATCCACAATGAAAATATCACTGATTATAAAACACGTACTGTCTGTCACATAGATATTTTGGCCCTCAATTGCGAGGAGTGGCATATTCAGCTATTCTCCATTTAGTGGGAATATTTTTCCTGAGATGCATTTGTAAAAGCACATTGGTCCAACCTGTGATTAAAAGTTTCAATTCTGTAGGCAGTTTGACAATGGAGAGGAATAAAAATTTAGCCATGGAAAAGAACGAAACATGTAAATTCATATAAACATGGAGTAAAGGATCTTTGCGTGCCTCATTAATAGGCTGTATGAAATGAATTAGTCACACACAAGATAATGGAATGCGGAGACTGAAGGTAAATTTCTTTTTTGTTATGACATTAGCTGTAATCTGTATTATAATTTTGGAAGAAAAGAATCAAAAGAGAAACAATATGAAAAGTTAGTCACTGTAGCCCAGGAAAACTCACAAAATAATTTCCATTAGAACAACAATGTATTTAAAACTAACGAATGAATGGTGTCACGATGAATGCTCCCATCTATAAAGAATAACTTTTGATGACTTTCAAAATTAGGGCATGTATTAGTTTATATTATTTGAAGTGGATTGTACTATAAACTTCAGGAAAACTTGAATTAAACGGAGTCATAATTAAGACAGAAGTTGGCTAAAATGACCAATGCTTGCATTCAACATCCTTCGGAAGAACATTTGTCACACATACAATACAGGGTTAGTAAAACAAAAAAGGAAAGACCTAACACTAAGTCTGAGACAACCCCTAGGAGCAAAGGATTAAAAACCTGGCAGCTCCCCCACAGGTATGATAAGTAACAATCCTATCTGGTTAAGGAAGTTGGTGAGTCACAATGATCACTGAAGAGTGCATGAATGAGGAGAAGCACAGACACTTCTCATCAGATTGCCCTGTGTAGGCGTCCTTCTTCTAAAACTGCGGCTCCCCTTAAGAGTGGCACATAATATCAAGAGCAAGAAACTGCCTAAGCGGAGGGTTATGTGGCCTCAGTGAGTCACGCTGATGTAGCCTGAGAGCCTCCAACAGTGACAACCAGCTAATACAGTCTCAAAGATGCCAAGAAACATACCACTTCTACACTAGAGTGATGAAAGGCTAAAAAGTACCTTATTACACATCTGGGGCAGAATCACAAATCTAGGTGGGAAGCACAGAAAGAAATGAATTCAGTAAAGATAGTTTTTTATACTGAAGTCACAGTTGTTTTCACAGAAAGCTTAAAGAAAATTTGAGAGGGGCAAAAGGAAAAGGATCTTTTCAGTTTTAATATATTTGATATTCTTAGTATTAGATTGCATTTGGTTTAAAAATACCTTTCACTATACAACCGGCATACTGAAAAACAAAACACAAAAAAGATGTTTTAGAACATTATTCCTTTTAAAGGCACAGTGAGTCCAAGACATCAAAATATTTTCACCAGGCTAGATTCTCACAGTTAGGTCACTCTGATTCTTGCTTCTAGTTAGCTGTTCAGGAGGTATCTTAGCTTGCCGTGTCTGCCTTTTGTTGTTAACAGAGGTGGATTATCAGGCTGCAAAGGAGGCTTCACTACAATGGCAGTGAGTAACAGGAAGCTGCTCACCACTTTGCTTGGCATGGTACAGTCTTCACATTATGGTTTGTGGTTCTGTACACGTCAGCATATAAACCTAACGTGTACAGCATATAAACCTGACGTGACCCACTCTTAATCTCACTGGTTTGCATATTCATATGCCCATGTCTGAGACCCTTGATAGATGGAGTGTGGTTAACATCATTAATAGTAACACTGAAATAAAGCAGAATGAAAAAAGCAATATCCATAGCTAAGAAATTATGGCCTCAGAAATATTACTCACCTGTCTGCTGTGCAGGCTGTGGCAGTGGTTGGTTTAGATGTGAATTGTAATGGACAGAAGGGATTGGGCGATACTGAGGTTGACCAGAGTGATAGTGGCCTGGAGCACAGTAACAGGCTGGCATCTAGGATAAGTGTTGAGGAAGAAAAATCAGTTTCACTTGCAAAGAAATGTTTTCTCTGAGGAACAACAGAATGTAATGAGTAATAATTCTATTACTACCCAAAAATACATTTTCTTAGCTTTACATTTATGTGAAAAAATTTTTAAAAATTTCAAGCATACAGGATACATAACAAAAGACACCTACCAATATACCTGGCAATTACATTTAGTAGGTTTAAATTTTTTGGCCATATTTGTTTCTGATTTCTCTCTCTCTTTTATAAAATGAAACACTATTAAAATAGGTAAAGGCTTACTCTAGCATTCTTTTGTCCTATATTCAACAGAAAAACCATTATCCCATAGTTGGTGTGTATCTTTGTTATAAATGTTTTAGAACCTCTACTATATATGTATATCTGTTATCCATACTGAAAATTGTTGAGGATCTAAAAAATTTACATTATAGTACTGTACTATATACAACTCCATGCAAATTATTTTGCAATTAACATTCTTTTTTGAGACTTCTCTTGGTTGAAACATATATACTGCTAGCTCATCCAATTTGATGTATGAACTGCAATCATTGTATAAATTAGTCAGTTTATTCCCACACTAATACACAGTTGTGCTGGTTCCATTTTTTAATTTTTCTCATATTTCTAATGCAAATTAAAATGCCAATACAAATCCTATTTGTCAATTATACCTTAATAAAGCTGGGGGTAAAAACAGTAAGACTAGCTTGATTATATTTACTTCTGGTGCTATTTAAAAATTTTTTTTTAATCTTTATTTATTTTTGGGAGAGAGAGAAAGAGAGAGAGCATGTGCATGCAGACAGGGAAGGGGCAGAGAGAGAGAGAGGGAGACACAGAATCCAAAGCAGGCTCCAGGCTCTGAGCTGTCAGCACAGAGCCTGATGGGCGGCTCGAACCCATGAACCATAAGATCACAACCTGAGCCAAAGGTGGACACTTAACCAACTGAGCCAACTAGATGCACCTCCTTCTGGAGCTTTTTATACTAGTTGTGCATTTCTCTTGATCTGACCTAGTTTGGAATAAGGAATAAACAATTAATTCAGTAATGTAGAAATATGTGGTAAATTAACTTTAGTAGCTTCATAAGCTCTTTCAGGTTCTGCTCTTCCAATTGGAATACTTCTCAAAGAGACACCTGTAGACATCTTAAAGAATGCCCATTTCATCTGGAAACCAGCTGGAGTACGTAATTTCTATATCAGTTATAAGCCAAGAATCTCCTAAATTTACTGTAACATTCTTCTGATTCTGAAACATTAGATACAATACACATGTGGTCCCTTAACTGTTCCTGGAGGTATCAGCAAACAATAGGTTTTCCTGATTTCAGATCTTAATCCATTATTATACTTTTCAGTATATGTATGTATATAAATAACAGTATATTCTTTTCTCCCCCTTAATTAAAAAGGATATCATTGGGGTGCCTGGGTGACTCAGTTGGTTAAGCACCTGACTCTTGATTTCAGCTCAGGTCACGATCTCATGGTTTTGTGAGTGTGAGCCCGTGTCAGGCTCTGTACTAAGAGAGTGGATCCTGCTTGGGATTCTCCCTCTCTTTCTGCCCCTACCCTGCTTTTATGAGTGAACATGCATGCATACGCGCGCGCGCGCTCTCTCTCTCTCTCAAAATAAGTATATAAACTTAAAAAAAAGACATTGTTTAAGGCAAAAGAAAAAAAAGGACAAAGGAAAAATCAAATGTAATACTAAAAGAATTCAAATAATACAAAAGGCAGGAAAGGAAGGATATAGGAATAAAACAGAGATAAAACAAATGGAAAACAAATAGCATTGTGGTATCCCTGCATTTAGCCATGTCAATAGACATACTAAAGATAAAAGGACCAGACACTCCAATGAGACTGGGTAGGACAGAAAAGATGAACTATACACTATATGCAAAAGATAGACTTTAAATACTGAGCATTCAAGGGTGCCTAGGTGGCTCAGTCAGTTGAACGTCCCATTTCGGCTCAGGTCATGATCTCACAGTTCATGAATTTGAGCCCCAGATTGGGCTCTGAGCTGTCAGCACAAAGCCCCATGCAGGGCGCCAAAGTCAGACACTTAACTGACTGAGCTGCCCAGGTACCCCAACCACTATCACTTATTGACAGAACTGGACAAAAGATCTAAAAGAATCTAACCAACAACACTGACTCAACTGATACTTAGAGAATAATAAATGCAAAAAAAAAAAAAAAAAAAA